CCTAGCCCCGGGGTCACGGCTCACTCCAAACCGGATTACCGAGGTACCTGTGCACTGACAGGTACTTGGTTTGGTGTTTCCCTATTCCAGACACCAAGACTTTATGTTTTGCCCATCCAGGTTGCCTGCTGACCAGCAGCACGGTGGGGCGGCAGCGTTCAGATGAATGCACCTTGCCCTGTAACCATGTAACATGACTAAACCACATTTTCTTCTGTGTATAGGTGGCATTGCACAACCAGGCCAACAACTTCACCCTCTCCAACTTCAGACCTAGCTACAGAAAACAAGGTCAAAAACTTACAGCATGATTACAAATCAAAAGAACAGTACTTGTTATAATAATGTGCCAAATTCCCTATCTCTGGCATTTAGTTACTCAGCAATTACATTGTTACAGACCAATTTGACAAGAGTCTCAGTAGTTGCAAGGGCCCTTTTCACACCCCAACTCTTCATCCACCAATAAAGGCATTCTTCTGTGATCATTACAGCACCAAATAAGCTAAAACAGTGAAACAGCAGTTGAGGATTGACAGGTTGCAAGTTCTCTTCACACTTCTAATTTGCTGGCTACAGCACCCAGCCCCATTTAGCAGCCCATGTGCTGAAGGTAACAAGCTGTAGGACACACTACATAGAGCCCAGCTGTGTTTCTGTGGTGGTAAATGGCTCCTGCAGAAAGCAGTCTTCAGTAGGATGCGTTAAGAACAAACCTTGATCCAGCTCTCGCCCATCTCTTAGCCATCTCCCTGAGGATAGGTGTGGTGATACTTCACCATATTCCCAAGTGACAAAAATTGGGTTTATATTTCCTTCGTTAGGGAAGAAATACATAAGGAACATATGAAATTACTCAAAAGGAGAAAGTTTACCATGGCTAGGAAAAGAAGTGCGCGTATTATTTCACAATAACATCCATGTTCACATTGTGCTCTACGCAGTGCCTGGGTGGTGATGCTTCATCTATCCTGGTCTGATAAACCTGCCCCTGAAGTCTTTCACAGCATAGTCTTGATTAAAGCCAGACACACACTATAAGGGGAAGAATGATGACAACACAGGGAGGACAACCAATACCACCCAAAAGCAGCACAAGAATTTCAGAAAACTCCACAGTTCATTCAGAAGTTGTTTTTGAGGATGATAAAAACACTAAACTGTCAGAAGCCATACGGAAGGCAAAGGGCTTTTGTTGTTGTTAGGAATCCTGATGGAGCAAGTTGCATACAACAGCATCCCTTGCTTACAGATACTGGCCAAAAGCCTACACAAGTATCAGACCAAAGCAGAAAGTTACATTCCAAAGTAAAGTGTCAACACCCAGCATTTGTCCTCTGTTCAGTACATTTCTAACAGTGGAGTTTTACAGCTCGTCAGTTACCAAATGACACCTGGGATGTTAGCAGCATCTTTCCTTGATAAACAAAGACTTCACCAAGTTGAAATGCAGAAATATTTATTTTGGTTTCCTTCATTGGTTTTGAAAATTGTTTTGGTTTTATAAAACATAGAAATAGCCAACACTAAGCAAACATTTGAATTCCAATGTAACAAACTACTGCTCTAACAGTTGACTTTGATTTGTGTACCTTAATTGCACACATGTATGAAATTATGCTACAGAGTAGTGCATTACAATCACACACAAATCTTAGTGCAAACCTTGTTGTGCTTGTATTTTACATATATCCATGTTTTTGAAAACAGCAATGAATGCTAATGCAAAACCAACTCTGTTAAGGATAGTAAAAGACTTCTGCTGTAATAAGGCTTATTTCTGCTGATTTCTCAAACAAAAACTAGTTATTTTGTAATTTATCTGGGAATTAGGTTTTTATCCCTGAACAAATACCTATCCTGTGCCAACACACAGTTCTGTTGGCATACATAAATACTTCCAACTGCTGCAAAGCATCAGGCAAAAACATTCTACCTGATCTATTTTGCTATTGAGTGAAGAATACTCAGTGGCTCATACATAAAGCACAGAAAACAGAGGTTATGTCAGAAGCTTTTCTGCTTACAGAGGACCTGGCACATTTTTAAAATGCATTTTAAATACACGCTCATTACAGGGAAATGAGTGGCTAGTACAGGTGCAGTTTACCTGACTGTTAGCATAGCCAGCCTCCTGAATGGTTTTGGTTTTAGGTCTCTAGTGTTCTTGCCAGAGTTAGGATCTGTTCAATCACCAGGCTGGCACCACTCTGGAATTGCTTTCATGCAGCAAAGGCTACACATGCTGAATTAACTGCATCCACACTTTCAGTGCAGAACCACCATATGAGGACTTACTCTGAGGAGCTTGTATTCATCAACCTCCTTTTTGTGGAGTTCTGACTCTACCTTATAAAGTGGATCTCAGAACTGGCTGCAGATACAGAAGGGACAAAAAACCCCCTCAGATATTTTGCCCCAGTTAACATTAGAACTAATGCTAGATGCGATACCAGCTATACACCTGTAAGGTTTGTGTTTTTAATGGTTGGGGGTTTTGTCTTTTTCTTTTTGAACAGATTAAGTAATCCTTCTGAGGATGCAAGATACTTAGAGGCGTTTTCAAACCTGCCAAATCCTTTGTGGAATTGACAACTGCAAAATACACTGCAGACAGCAAACATGCTGGCAATAAGAAAACCTTAGCTCCTTGGTGAAGGAGAGTCCCATTTTTGGCCAAGGAAGTCTTAAATAACTTAGATATAGTTACCATTTATAGTTAAGGCTCTTTTTGGAAATTGTAGGTCACCATAAAAACAGTATGCAACACAACTTGACAGTAAGGCAGTGTTCCATTTCTTCAGTGTTCCTATGGCAAGTACCCATTTTTGTACAAGTTAGTGATTGCACAGTTTCCTTCCCTATGTTTGCTGTAGTCAAATTACAGATACGAAGGCCAACAGTAGACATCAGACATGTGCCACTTCCCTCATTCCATTGTCAGTTACATTTTGGCATTGGCATAGAGTTCATCTATCTGTGACTGGAAATATTTCCGCAGTTCTGGTCTCTTCGCCTTCAGTGTTGGTGTCAGCAGGCCGTTTTCAATAGAAAACATTTCATTGTGCATGGCAATGTCTTTGACCTGGAAAGTAAACAGTTACTAGCCAAGCTGCATTCCTTGGAATAGACAAGGCTATTAAACAATTACCCAGACATCATAAAGCCCATCACTTTTGATTTTTTCCAGATGCAAATTAAAAGCAGTTTCTGGAAAGCCAGGTTATACTGGTGTTGAGAAGTTTAAAGAATTCGGTGTTTGATTCATAGAATCATGCTCACAAGCATCTTACCTGTTCGAATGACTTCAAACCAGATTCTTTCCCAATCCTCACCATGTCTTCCAAAACATAGTTTTTAAGCTCCTGTGGATACAGGAATACATTGTGTAGCTTGAAAAAGGTGGTGCAGAACAGCTAACTGTAGTTAGATATGACTCACCTTGTTTTTGCATAACTCTTCATATGAGCCTTCAAATCCCTTTTTCTTGGCCCAGTTGCGCAAAGTCTCAGGATCAGGTACCACAATGGCTACCAAGAAGGCCTAAAAAAAGAATTTTTGTCAAGCATTTCTCCTTTTGAAGTCAACACTTTAGTTCCTACACATTTCACACTAGGTAGTGTTAGGTTTTAGACAGCATTTCCGACTCTGCTGTATAGCCAGCAGCTTTCTGCAACTTATCATGGGAGTGCAGCTCAGAATTTGTATTTAAGAGAGTCACTCTTGTTAAGAGCCACATTTCAGTTTACACTTGTAAAAGCCTGGACATCTTGGATTTAGGTGAGGTTTTTTTGGTGGTGGTGGTGGGGTTTTTCCACCCCTTTTGTGGTGTGAGGTTTTGTTTTTTTCTCCTTCCCCTGCACATTGTTAGCAACTTCCATACAGTTATTAGTATTCAAATTAATCCAGCTTTACTACCTGTCTGAAACTAAATCCAGAAACATGGTATATAACTGCTGGAGCCAAAAGTACAAAAACGTGTCAAAAGAACCAAAATGTGTAATGTTAAAAAAAATTTAAGGTCTTGGTCTAAAGTTTGGGGTAGGGTAGGGAGGAAAAGAAGACTCTTCTGCAGTCTTTTCTTGCATTTATTTTTAAAGTTAGCTAAAGAATACTTACCTGTAAGCTCTCTCCATATACGAACACCTGAGCAAGTGCTTCACATCTCAGATACACATTTTCTATTTTCTCTGGTGCTATGTACTCTCCCTGGGCTAGTTTAAATATGTGTTTTTTCCGGTCAATGATCTTCAATGTACCATTCTGTTGACAGAAATAACTTCCACTCAGAGGAGGCACTTCAAGTGAAAACACCAATCTACACAGCTTAAGCATGCCACACTAATACAGCAAAATAGTGCCAGAGCACTGTCAAACTGATGTTAGAAGTAAACAGAGTCTGCATCAGCTAACCTAAACTAGGGAAAGCCTCAGGATTGGCACTGCTAATACCTTCTCAATTCTAGGCACACAAATTTATCTAGGAACAGTAATTATCCTCCTCCTAAAATTAGTTGTCTTTCACCTAATTCATTGTGTTCAATGCCAAGTATTTTCTGTTTTGTCAAATTACTGCTCATAACTATAGAAATACATTTTAGCTCTATAAGTTAAACTTACTGGTAGCCATTTCCCAATATCTCCTGTATGAAGCCATCCATCTTTGTCCAGAGCTTCTGCTGTTTTTTCTGGATCTTTCAAATAGCCACGAAATACATTTGTCCCTTTTACACACACCTGAAAACAGCCATTTATTAGTGTATGTACTATGAAGGGAGATTAGCAAACACTACTTCAATGAGCGCTTTCTCCAGTGGTTCTAAATAACCCCTGCTAAAAAGATAAGATGAAGTTTATTCATTAGTACAGAAATTCCTGCTCATGATTTTTGAAGACCTACCAATGGAAAATGTTATGAAATATAATAAGCTATTAGAAGCATCTCTTCTCTTTCAGTCTAGCAGCAGTGTTCCTACCTGCTATTTGTATAATCTGAATTTATCAGAGGAAATTTTCATTTATCTGAAGAAATTCTGCTGAAACCAGAAATATTACCCCTCAGCCTGACAGCATGCTTGTTTCAGCTTTGGTAAACAGCAGTGGCATTGTGATAAAACTAGTGATAAAAAAAATGCATGTCAAGCAAATTACATGTTTGTTGTGCAAAAGTAAACCAGTTGATACCTTAGAACACACAAGACTTCTATATAATGGGAAACTGCAGTTCCTTTAAATTGAACTTTGCCTGGATTTGTATACCAAGAACAGCTTCTCTGGAGGCATGGGCATTATTAGGATCAAAAAGTGTGCTTACAAGGTATGAAAAGAAACCAACAAGATTAAAGGTTTATAAGTGAAGAGGTTGCCAGTGAATCAGGTTAGACCTTACAAGCTAAATTAAAACAATTCGTAAAGTGAGCATTTGTCAGTAAGAGAACACAGAAGTAAAGCAACTAGTCAGGAACACTGAGTAGAGCCTGAGGTACCCAGAGATTATCCCAGATCCAAGTATTTTCTTCTCAATGTAGCAGCCAAGGTTGTGTAAACTTTCTTTGGTGGAGAGAGTAGGACATAGGACAGATTTAAGGATCTGCAGGACTATAAAAATACCTCCTTAGAAATGAGTAGAGAGATAAGCAAGATAAACAAGGCTGAAGCAAAACTTAAAGATGCCCACTGCACACAACTGTTTGGGAATCAAGAGTCCAAAATCCCAGAAGCTCTACAGCAGTCCTGAAAAGCAGCAAATGATTCAAACCATCACACCAGCTTGGCATGATGGAAGACAGCTAGAAGGGTCTGGTCTGAGCAGTAATATCAGGACTCAAGAACAAATCTAAAAGAATGGAATAGAGAAATCCCATTTTAAGTTTAACTGGATAATATCAATAGGGGTGGATAAGATACAAGACAACTATTAGTCCAGGGGATTAGTACAATTATGAAGTGGGCAAGGAACTGATTAAAGAATCTTCAGGCACTAATATCAGTTCTCAGAACAGAAGGAGAAATTACATAGTTCATAGAAGAAATAAATTCTTGATAAAACTCCCAAGAAAATCCGAAGTATTTTATGTTGAGGTAAGCACCAAAAATATAGGCACACTGGTGAACTACAATACAATGAACAGAGATGTCAATAGGAGGGCAATCAGAGTATTAGCGAGGGTTCTGATGACCTTGTAGAGACAGTACTGAACTTGGGACTAAACCAAGATCATGTTTTAAGAACCAAGTCATTTCTGCTATAAAACAGAGCTTATCTGGAAGGATATGAGTAGAGGAGATCTCTATGTCCCAGTCAAGTAAGGGGTGACTGACCAAATGTTTAATTTTTTTCACAGCTCCTACAATCACACGATGGCACTCGGTGACAGCTTTTCCCAGTTGAGACAGCAAACCATTATCTGTATGCCACTAACTGGCAATAAGACCTCATCTGCATGTGAGGATATATGATTCTATTCACAAATTTATCTTTCTTGAACATGGATAACTGGCAAAAGCAAAAAGCAAGGCTGACAGAATGGAGAATATTGAAAGATTACTCTCAGAAAGGAAAACTAGGAGTGCCTAATCCAACTGAAGAGCAGACAGCGAGAGACCGAGGAGGAAGATCTACTTTAGGCAAAAGATAATGGGAGCCAATTCCATAGCTATGGGCTTCAGTTCTGTGAAACAAGTTAGACTTAGTTTGTCAAATTCAGAATAGCTCACACTGAGGAAGTTAAGACTGAAAGACTAGGATGGTACCTGATACATTAAGGTGCTACCATATTTATTCAAGTCCAAAGTAATTCCTTTGGAAACAGCAAGCTTGCAAGGTAAGTGCAAACAAAATTTTTGAAGGTTTTGGGTCTTTTTTAAAAACTACTCAACTGTTTTGCATTATAAGAATTTACAATCAGTTCCTCAAGCAGACCAAGCTTTAGAAGCACATTTAAAGTGAAGCAAAAAAACCAACAAAAAAAACCAAAAAAATGACTAAACATAGAATCACGGAATAGTAAACATGGGGTCATATGCAGTACAGGAAAGAATCCTGACATTGCTCTCCACTTGCCCACATTTTCCCACCACCAAGTGCAACTAAACCCTTAAGTATTTCTGGGAATTAAAGCCTAATGACTTGCCTCTAGTCTCATACAAATTACAACCAGAACAAATTACGATTACAGATTGTTCACAGTCACAAATTTGTTACTTGCTTAAGCTACTTTTTATTTATTCCTTTCTCGCTCCTCAACTGCCCCCAAGGCCTCTCAAAAGCATATAAAGGACACCACAGTTAATTTGCTTTCAGGGCTTGGGGAAAATAAATTACTGCCTGGACATCTGTTCAAAGTAGATACACAAAGTTCAAGCTGTATATTTTTTACTTGGGAAAAAATATTGAAAGAGACAGCATATAGCATTACACACAAAAGCTGAGTCCTCAAAGTGCAATTTGAAGACATACATGTTCAACTTGTGCAGGCTGCAGAAAAAAAGAATGTGCAGGCAGTTGTCACAAATCATTAGCAGCCTTCATGACATTTTAGCTCCATTTCTCCTAGTGGTGTTCCAGCCACTTCAGATTACCTCAGCTCACACATCACAAGCTGGGTAACAAGCTACATGCATCAGCATGTTCCCTAGCACTCGACAGTGGCAGGGGGAGAGAAAGGGGGAGGAACCCTTCTGCTAGCATTTTACTGGAGGGTAAATGCACTGAGATAGGTAGCTTCTCAGCTATCCCACAGCTGGAAAATGGCATGTTAGCCATACAATCATAAATACATAGTAGCCTGTTATCCCACAGTAAGCTTTTTCTCCCAGTACACCATTTCCTGTTTTGCTTCTGTGAATTATTGGCTGACATTGCACACAGGCATTTTTGATTTTAGGTAGCAGGCCTTGTTTAGCACTTGCACTAAACTCAGTGAGTTATTTCAGGAAGAAAAAACGTTTTCCAAGATTTCATAAGAAGCTCATATTGACCTTTTGAAATTACTTACCTCACCCTCTCCTTTGGCAGCCGAGTAGTTCATTTCCTGTACATCAACAAGCTTGATGATATTGCATGGCATGGGTGCTCCAACATGCCCTGTTAGGCAAAGCAACACTTCAATAGCCTGAGCCGCTTGTTAAGTCAGGTTCTTAAAACAACAAGCTCATTACATGCTAAAGTAAAAAAGATAGAAAACTGATTTCTGATAATGCACTACATCAGTACCAGGACAGTAATAGCTTAGTTTTGCTGGGACTGAAACATTAAATTCTCAGATATCCCTAGAATGTTAAAAGTTGCACCATGTACTCAGGATTTTTTTCTTATAATCAGGATCCTCACTTTATGGACACATTTAAATAGCAGAAGTCTCACTATAGTTTCAATTATCAAACTTATATCTCTAGCTCCCTAAGTGAAATAACAGCTGACAAATGCAGACTGTTTGTTCCAACACCAAAAATGCCATTTAAGTTTCCAGCAATGTGTTTATACACAGCAGATTTCTGTTCTGTAAAAATGACAAGGGTTGATACTATGACCTCCCATCTCCTAAATCCACTTCAACTTACAAGGACAGAGCCTATTAAAAGTTTGGATTACTGAACACTCCTAGCCATTCAGGGGTAGGAACTTCAAGGGATCCCATCAAAACTTTACTTCACTTGAAGGAAACTAGAATCTTATGTTTTATGAGTTTTATGCTGGAGAGTAATGCCATTAGGGACCTTTAATAGCATCCTGAAATTTGACAGGCAGACTGTTGAATACCATACCTGCTGTCCAGTCACCAGGCACTGACAGTGAGCATCCAGCTGTGCATTCAGTCTGTCCATAACCTTCATAGAACTAGGACAGGAAACCAAAAGATTAAGATACTTTTCAACAAGCAGTTTATTAAAGTGAAATTAATATTTTGCTTTACCCTAGCTGTTAAATTTGAGTTCAGCAAAACCCCCAGCATTTTCTAGGAAGAAATAGAGTTTTATCACAATACATAATTTTAAGTGCTAATATTCCACATTCAGTTCCAATAGGTACTCAAAGCTTCACATGATATGACATCTGTAGAGACGAAAACACAAAACAGAGGGAGAAAGAGGAAAAAATAAAGAATAATGGTACTAGCAATGACTTTATTCACATCATTTAACAACAGGTTTGTCCAAGACAGCCAGGAACAGAATCCCTATGCCCATCACAGCTCTACAGTTAAAGAGAACACAGGCTTCCCTTTTCTGTGCAGAATGCATTGCTACACCTGCACACTACCGATTAACTTCAAGAAGTCACAGAAGCCTCACATTTTAGAGCACTTTCAATACTTTAAATTTCAACACATTTGTTCCATGCTGTGCCACTGTTACACAGGTTTTACCTCAAAAAGCATACACTTTGAAGATGTTCTGAAGATAAATGTAATGTGTGCAATCTGATTCTCCCCAGTCTCATCTTCAAAGCAAGAACACTACAGTATCATCACATTGATTCGATTCTCTACAGTAGTTATGAATGCTTCTGTAAGTGAGGAAAGCCCCAGGAATTTAATCCAGGAACATTTATTATTGTTTATAGGAGTGCCCCCACCCACCCACCCAGATCTTTCCCTTAATACAGTTTAGCTGGTTACTTCAGCTATAATAAGGACTTTGGGATGCATACATAAATCTCAGGGGACAGAGAAACTCTGAAAAGGAGTACACACTTTTGTAGTCTGTAAGAAGAATGCCAGTAAGAGTTATCCATATAATCAGACTACTTGAAATGCTCTAACATCATAGCTGGAATTGGGTATTAAAATATTTATGGCTTAGGATTAAGGCCAGGAAACTCACCTGACAGCCAAGAGCTGTTCTCAGGAAGGTCAGTACACTTGCAGATACTGGTGCTGCTCCTGTAATCATCAGCCTTACTCTTCCTCCCAAACTTGCCTACAACAGATAAAAGATACTGTGGACACCAAAAGCATTTTAGAGATTTCCAAAGTCTTTTTCCTTCCCACCCTCAGCCACTATTCACCTACAGTGCCACCCACAAGTGTTAAGAGATTAAAGTTAAGTCTCCTATTGCAAGCTGTCTTTCTTGCAGTGTTTTAATTGCATAAATGGCTGGAAGAAACAGTGTCTTAAACATACAGTATCTACAAAGACTGCGCTTATGGTGTCACTGCAATGCAGACTGTCAAAAGCCTGAAGAGCTTAAGTTGTGGCCTTACAGCAACAGCGTTATTTTTAACTATCTTGTATCAGCTTCTATACATCCTGAATGCTATAAAAAGCAGCACAGGGCATGTTGTACAACCAAAGTTAAGGCCATAGCAAGTGAGTGCCAGATAAAATAGCAGGTGTAACTTACTAGTAACCAACAGTGAGGAGGCAGTAGGGGCTACAGGTGGCCCTGTCACATTTAGCATTCCACCTTCAGAAGGACAGCAATTGCTTTCAAAGTAGTAAGAGAGAGAAGCACCACACTGTTTCAGAGCAACTCACCTAACACAGTTAGCTGATACTATTAGAACAAAGGGGCTTGAAAAAGCAAAGTTGGAAATAAAAATAAAAAAATAATAAAAGAGACAGCTTTGATTTTTATTTGGAGTAGCCAGTTAGTGATGAAAGTCATACCAGATTGTAACTATTCATATGAAACTCAACAGCTACAAACTTAAATTCAGAGGCTTTCAAGCCTACCTGTATTTTGCGGAAGATGACTTTGTCCCAGAAACTGTTATTTCTAACTATACCACTTTTGAGTTCTGCTTCTTTCCTCTTGGAAGCAAAATCCAGCATCCACCTCTTTATTGTAGTATCTGCCTGTCCAAAAATCTATTAAGAAAGATGATCTGTGGTTAGAAGCCTCACAAAATACCATTCCCTTTCTCTTACAGAAGCATGCTTAGAGATTCTCAACAGTGAAAACCAAGTAAATTAAACAACCTGTATTGGGAGGTATCTTAATTCTAGTAAGAAATGCTTGTGGATCTTGATCTTGGCCTCTACCTCAGCTCAGAGATGCTCACCAGTTAGCACTTAACCAATTCTTGCGTCCCATCAAAATGTGCGATGCTGTTTCAATATATAGTTTCTTCATTTAAATGAATGAAACGGATGTTTTCCTTTTCTATTCTACAATGATTAACACTCAAAATAATTGTAATCCTCAGCATATTCTGAAAAGCACACCACCGTAATAAAGTAACAAGGGTTTCTGAGGAGATGCAGGTTCCTTCAGAAATACCAGAAGGAGGTCTGTCTTGCATGTATAAACTCACTTTCTAGATCACTTTTCAAAGGCTCCTTCTATGTATTCTCAGGAAGTCAAAGAGCAGACTCAAACAGACCACAGATTAGGATATTCACTTGGAAAAAGAAAGACCCAAAAGCTCTTCAGCATTATGGCACCCCCACCATGCCAATCTCCCACTTGTTGACTTCACATGCTATGTTACTGCAAGACTAGGTGAGGTTGAAACAGTGCCATAGAAATGTGAAAGCCTCAGGTCACCAGAGTTAAGCAAGAGGACATCGTGAAAGGAGAAGAGTGTCCCAAGCTTTGCCTCTGCTTCTAAAATTCCAGTACAAGAACGCGAGAGCAGAATGAGTGACTATATTTTAAGCACTACAGGCTGGTCTCAGGATTTCCTCCCCTCCAAATGGATCAAAGTTGCACTATTTGTTCCTGTGGCCAAACATAACCTTATATTACTTGCTGTTCCTCTAGTCTCATGATTAGAACACTTTCCTGGCTAAGACAGCATAGGCAAGCTCTGCAATTTCTTTAGCAGTCACTGGGCTTCTTGTTATATTTTTCAACTGCTCTGACTGTATCCTAAGAAGAGTCAGTCATCCATATGCAAACGGGTGATTTTAAAATCTTAAGTCCAGAAGAAGTACCTGCTTCTGAATTCCCACCTCAGGTGACCCTGAGCAGCCAAAGGGCAGGCACAGGAGAGTCTGGGGCTGCTGACACACCCCCTCCCTAGCACTGCCAACTGGCTGGTTTATAGCTCTCCCTGCTAGAACACAGTGGTTGCTGTGTAGGAAACTTGCATGCATCTATGCAAAGAGGCAAACACCTGACCTTGGTGTGCAAATTCCACTCCATGAGTCAGATGCTAAAAGTGTGGCATGCGGATGCTAAGCCTCATGTTCATGTAGAAGACTGGACTTAAATAACTTGCTCAGAGCAAACCAGGACATCATTAATCAAGCTAGAGGGATACAAGTCCCCTAGTTGGACTCTTCAACACTAGTATTTACTGCATAAAAATATTTTACTACATCAGGTACTACTCCCTGTACTTTCAGCCCTCTTTTAGAAAGAGATGCACAAATGGGTTAGCATACCGATTTAACATTCCAGAGCACAACAGTTACTCCTACTCTGGCAGCACAAACCTTCATGAAGTCTCTTAAAGCCCTGCACGCGTCTAGACTCATACCTGTAGACTTACCTTATCAAACATTCTGTTCAACAGCCTTGGTACTACAGGAAATACAGTTGGCTGCAGTGTTTTTAGGTCATCCATAAGTAGTCTGATATCCCCTTGAAAGAATCCTATCCGAGCTCCATGGCACAGAATCACACACTGTTAGAAAAAAGTAAACACTGAAAACACAGGATATATAACATGTTCTAGCTGTATATGTATAACACCTATGCAGAGCAGACTGCGTGGGATCCACCTTAAATCTTCCCAGCTTCTGGACCAGTTCTGCAGCATTCTCAGATTATAGGATGGGACTAGAAAGACCAAGATATGCCTGGTGTACACAGGCTAAACACTTTGACAGAATAAAATGCAGCACAAAATCCCCTATCTAAAAAGGGCAGTTGGCCAAATAAGGTAATGCCAGTGACTTGGAGGTACCAAAGATCAAAAAGCAGAACTTCTCTTTTCTAAATATTTAACAAGCTTATGTAGAGATATTAGACCTCCATTTGTTCCCTGCTATAAACTAAGAAACTCTGCATTTCTGCATGTGAAGCACATGCTATTTACAAATCCATCAGGGATTTTTGCCTTATGCTACTTGATTTCCATTCTCTTGCACTCTGGTTTTTCTTCCTGTTTCATGGAACTGATGTGAGCAGCGAATTTGTTGTTAGGCGATCAAGATGGTATTTAGAAGATTCAAGCAGAGCCACTGCTTATTTCTGCATTACTTCAGACCTACCCCAAGAAAGGCAGACTTCATCCTGTTTTATTCTATATTCTGTTGAAAGTCTAGAAGCTCCACCCCCCGCACCTATACACCCCCTTTTTCTCCTATTTTGTTTGGATTTCATTTTTTCTTTTTAACAAAACCTCTGTTCCTCCTGTGTTTATCTATACCTACTTGGTTTTATTTCTTACGCTTCCTTCATTCCCCATCATCCGTTCTCTTCTTTTCTGCACAAGACATACTAAAGTGTCAGTTTTCCCCCTTCACCAGCACTTTGCCACCATCTGCTAAAAAGCAGCAAGTGCATCAGTCCAGAGGGACTAAGCAGCAACTGCATTTGTCCTGTTGAGTTCACTGACCCTCTAATATTCTAAGGAAGCCAAAAATCTGCTAACATCAGCTTTATGGCTGAGGTATCACTCTAAAGATTGCTTCTCAGAGAGCCTGTGTTCATATCTACCCAAACAGTAACAAATCTTTTCTCCTTCCTACCAAAAGTGTTCTTGCTTGATTGCCTTATGTAAATATACAAGCAATCACCTACTTTGTAAAGACCTCATACAGCAGAGGAATACCAAAAGCCAAACACTTCCTTCTCATTTTATCCTTTAGAACACAGATTCCCATCCTATTTCTACTGTATCATCAAGACCAGAGCTGTTACCTACAGCTTTTACCTTCTGGTGCAAGGCATCAGTAAAACAGACACTGAAGCATAACTGGTATCCAGGTTACCAGCAGAAAAAGAGGCTAAAAGTCTAAAAGGCACCTGTACTCCTCAGTAACACTATTCCCAATCTTCATAACTTACACACACACACACTTTTACATGTGCATACATACACACGTGGTAGAAAGCTCAGGTTTCTTAACTGAAATCACAGGACAATTTCTGGGTCCATGTGCCTTTTCCACACTTGCACAGAAGCTGTTTATTTCACTACATAAATTGGGAAATAACTACATTCAATATACATATTTGCAGTCTCGCCTAAGGGAGAGGTGTTAATTCAACTTCAGTAGGTACAGTAATTAAATACCTGTGCCTCTACTGTATATAAGAAGTTCAAGGAAATTGCATCCTTTCACTAATGCATACCACCTAACTGTGGGCTCAGAGATCCTTCTGACTGACAGTATTCAGACAACCTGAGCTCCCTTATCCTCAGAAATGAAGCCCCAGGTTTTGCTACATGGTAAAACAAGCTATCCAAGAGAATTTCAAAGTCTGTCATTGAATAGCATTAAAAGTAATTTTCATTTCCTAGAAGAGAACTCCACTGAAACAAAATCCCTTCCTCTTTATTGAGGTTTCTTGGAAGCAATGATAAGTTTAACCAACATAAAATTAGTTCTGTGTAAGCAAGCAGGATGCCACACTATAAATAAATTTGTAGTGTCTGTAGACTAAAATGCATGGATTTTTAATAGGGCACTGATTATATTAGAGGGAATTCTTTTGAGATTGCCTCATGTTCTAGTAAACCAGTTTATTAACCCTAGCTCTAAGGTTAATGTTCAGCAGGAAACCTAATTGTCTGGTACTTACTGGATATTGTTTATGATATTCTTTCCTGAACCTTACCTCAAGCTTTCATACACATGAGCAGGAGTCAAAAAGGAATAGTGTGTAACACTGGGATTCGAGAGACATGCATTCTGTATGGAAAGTAAGCTTTTCAATACTTCAGTACGACAAACGAATGCTTACCTCAACAATTCTCTCAAACATGTGAGCCAAGGGCAGGAATGATATCAGAACATCATCAGAGGAAGGTAAAAATGTTTTCTGAAAGGTTAGCAAATGAAATTTCATTCTTATTGATTCTCTATTTTGCTCAAGTTAAACACAACAATGAAACCTAGTGTCTAAAGGACAGCCCTGGCTTCAAGTTTTGTTTGTAATGAAGCTGCATTGTCTTTCATCAAAAATACTACAGCAATGACTTGTAACATGAGTAAACACATTGCAGAAACAGTAACCTTATAGAGTTGAATACAGTAAGCAGATTATTACAACTTACTCGTATTATTATAAGTAGAAACAAATTCTGACAGAGACCACAGGAAGTTATATACATTGTGGGGGGAGACGGGGACAGAAAGGTTAAAGTAGAAAAAAAATACACACTGATATCTTAGATCAGAAAGCTCGTTAATCCAATTTACCATAGGGTTGATATCAAAAGTACTTACATGACTTAATTGTGAGACCAGTTGCTTAAAGACAATTCTGTATGTATTGTATTTAAATTAAGTGCAACTGCATTTTTAATTACATCTGTATGCGTTAGAACCATCTTCTTAGCTACCCTGCAGATGAACTTTAATAGTCTACCGTAAACTAGAAGTTAACACTGTATCAAGTAAAAATAGCAATGCTGCTTGCTCATTTATGCAAGGACTTTAAGCATTTCAGAGGGTTAAAATACATTATAGCTTCTCCCATTCTTAGTGGAAAAGGTTAGCCCCTACACAAACCCTCTGATACAGAGCTTTCACATGAGGTTCTTTAACATTTTACTTGGATCAGAGCAAATTGTAAATCTGTCAAGTTCTTGATGCTGACAGAAGAAACCAGTAAACATTAAACTTCTGACCTAGCATAGGCAGAGTGCTGTCAAGATACAATTTCACTTGAATTTTACGAAAAAGACCAAAAGTTAATGAGATTACAGTGTTGGTTTTACTCATGAGATTTTTCCCTCCTGCAAATCCACAATGTTAACCTTTGCAGTTTACCTCTGTAGTTTTCACAAAAGCTGAAGCATTGCTGACTATGTTTTCATGAGTGATCATAGCTCCTTTGGGGTTTCCTAAGGAAGAAGCACATCAGGATGCAACAGTCAAATTTTTAGATCCTTTAGGTTACCAAGCAGAGGTTAAAATTAAGAGTGTGTGAATAAATCAGTCCTTTCTTTGAGATGAAGATCTTTCTTTGTATATCAATTTAACAAAGGCAGAGAACTTGCTAACAACTTTCAAAAATAGCTGGTAACAGTTAAGTTTGCACTGAACTCCTCAAATTTCACAGAATCATAGAATGGTTTGGGTTGGAAAGGACCTTAAGATCATCTAGTTCCAGCCCCCCCGACATGGGCAGGGACGCCTTGCACTAAATCATGTCACCC